TAATTTGTTTACTAAATTAAATTAATATAGAACTAATAGAAAAGCCATTTCCAAGGAAGAGCAAGTTATATTTTAAACATTACAAAGACAAACTATTTTTTGTCTTCCCTTTGGAATAACATGCACAATGAATAGTTCACAATAAGACCAGGAATGTGCATTAAGAAAATACACAGGCTACTGTTGACTTCAAGGGTCACAGCAGGTTAACGTCAATTATAATGACTTCATTTGTAATGTATGGCCCTGCACCGCTACAGAAATCCTCCAGCTTAAAATGGACTCTGGAGCCATTTCTTAAACACAGTTCATTCCGTTCCACTGTCTGTCCTGTCACACACATGTCTCCTTTATCCATCTCATTCTTTTCTCATCTATCCCTCCCTATCTTTCCGTCTTAGTCTTACACATTCCTGCTCTCGTTCAGTGGCCCCGGGCTGCATAATTAATGCATGTACTGACAGCAGTGTCACACACTGACTGAGGAGTCCTTCGCTTCCCCACCACACGACTGTCGTTTTACCCAGGAAGAGGAACTCGGGAGACGAGCACACAGCCCGGCATGGAGGACCAACCTGCCTCTAAACTCACCACCCTCCACCCATCCTCTGTTGTTTCATCATCGTGATTGAGTGGGAAACAGGAGCGGAGCAAAACAGCAGCTTATATTCGCGAGGCCCCGTATATATTATGCATTCGAGTTCTTGGAATATATCTTTGACTGATCCTCAAATATTTCTCAAGGCTCAGACGTGTTTTAGCCCCATTCTTCCTGCCTCAGACTCGCTCGCTATTAGGCATGTGTGGGCCGCGGTTGTGCGCGTGTGACACGGAGCTGAAATTATGAATTGCTCCTATCAAGAGCGAGCTGTTGCAAGTTGATGAAGGGAGCGCCAGTGATTGCCGGGCGACAGGAATGCTGTTTGGAGACGCAAACGGAATTCTATCTCAAGGAGTGATCCCTCCGGAATAGACTTCAACGTAAAGAGGATGCGCCCCATTCCTGGCACAGCAAATTCGTACATTTCAATAGAGAGCAGTTTCACACCGTAGACTCTGTGATTAAATGCCGATGCCTGCCATTTTGTGGGAATACATAGAATTCCCTTGCCAATTTCCCTGACCGTTTTACCTGTCAAAAACAATTGGCGAAGGACAATACGAGGTAGTGTGAATACATATTGCCTACTGACTGAAACTCGGCTCTCAATGTACAGTATATCTCTTCCAAGATCTCCCTCCATCTCAATCTCAATATCATTCTCCTTTTTTTATCTCTACTTCCCTCCGAGGCCTTGTGCGTTGGGGTTCGAGCAGAGACACAGATTAAGTGACTTGATCCTGCAAACATTTGAGGAATTCAGGCCCACAAAGGGGTCAGCGCAAGGCCGAAGGGATAGCCTTACACACACATACACACACGCACGCAAACAACCACACACACTCAGACTGCTCCATTAGCGCATCAGTAGTGCTGTCACTGGTGCAGCCCTGCAGAGTTTCTCAGGGAGAAATAGCCTCAACATGCCACACTTATGTTTTCTTGTAGCGCGGCTCTGACTCAATGACTCACTGCAATGGACAATTAGAGACCAAGAAAAATATAAAGAGGAAAGAGAGAGAAAGTGAAAAGATAAGCAGGATATTGTGTCCAGTGTGAAAGTATATGAATACAAATACTCTGAATTAAACTTTGCCATTAAAACAATTGAATTTGTATGCTGTTGTTTTCCAGCCAAAAATTATTTTACTTCCTAGAGGATGATGTCATTAGGAAACTGGCTTTTGTTAAAGTCATTTTTATAAAAGGCTAACAGGATGTAAGTCTATAAATTGATTAAAAATTAAAACAATATTGCCAAGGAAACATATTTTCATTATCATTATTTTCAGAGAGGAATAAGAGAAATGCACAAGAGGAATGCACCACTTATTAATATGACTAGTAATGATTAACAGTGCAAGTAATGTCAGAGTGGTTTTCTGATTCCTCCATATTTGCTGATGTGTAGCTAATAACTGCCTTGTTAGCATTGCACATATGCTGTTCTGTCTTGGTTCCTGTATAATTTGAATCAGTGAGTTGGACTACAGGTACACGAGTATCTGCTTCCATTGCACTTTTCCCAGACACTTTAACAGGACATCTACGCTGATGCTGAAGCTTACCCTACCCAGAGATTTGAAGGCGTGGCAGTCTGCAGTTAGCCTTTAGCATCGTGGTGAAACACGCTCCGTTAGCAGCTAACACTGCCTCATTTATTTCACTTATCCGGAAGATTCAGTACAGCGACGAGAGAACCTGTTGACCTTGTCACTTCACACCACCAGTCTCTCTCCCTCCTTTGCTCTCTCTGTCTGGAGCTAAAGGACTCGCTGGTGCTTGGGTTCTGTACGATTACTCGAGGAATCAATGGAGGAAAATGTACGCCTATGCAGAGCACATGTAGATGGTGCTTGAACAGTCAGAGCACCCTTGATGTGCAAATGCTTCAGCTCCTATTATAATGGACGGCTAAAAGGGTTAACACATATGAGCTTTGACTATGTGACTGTTACGTGGAACTGAACTATTTCTTTTTTTTGCTGTAAATTGACAGAGAAGAAAAAGGCAGGCGCACCATCATTAGAGAGCATACACATCCACATCGGTGGCGCTCTGGCATGCTTTCCGCTGTGTGTCCTGATAAAAGAGGGGGAAGAGGTAAAGTAGGTGTGAGAGGAGCATCTTTGAGCTCCTCAATAAATTCTCATTATTTGAAGTGGAGTATTTGAGAGCTAAGAGTGGAGTGTTGTGTGTTCTCTTAATCTTGTCGTCGGTGGCAGGCTATGTGAGGCAGGGTGGGTTAATGTAATATCACAGTTGGGCGCCTCACCATGCCACTTAAACCCCCTATTAGTAAAACACTCCCTCCGTGTTATAAAAATGAACCCACACTGCCACTTCAATGATGCACAGGAGAGAAGACTGTCAAAAACTGGTAGTGAATACGAAAAAAAAAACAGTCTAGGCTCTCAGTTATAATTATTCCCAGCATACCAAAAACCTAAGATGGAACAACAGGAGTTAGCATTAAATTCCATGTACAGTATGTGAAGTTATGAAAATATTATTAAGGTGTTTCAGACAGGTAACCATAAAGTGTAATTTACCAAAGAAAATGGGCCCAGTATCGAACCCTGTGGATGACCTAAAAATGTAAAATATAAATTGACCACAGGGCACGTCAAAAACCCCAAAGAAAAACACAGATGAAGGTCATATTGTGTTGGAAATGTGCATAGATGAAACCCAAGGCTGATCCAGAGGCCCTGGCACATGAATTAGTGATATGCATGTAACGTAGTTTGTAGATCGGGAAGAAGGAGGCGGGAACCGGCGAACATTCAAAGAGACTTTAATAATAAAATAAACACAAAATAGCGCGACAGCCCCTCGCGGACGACTGTCGCGCACAAAAGAAACCAAAACACAAAATAAACTCCAGGCCTGGTCCTCTCTCGTCCGACACGGTCGTCACTCCTCCCTTTTATCCTTCCGGAGCTCCTCCGTGAGACTCGAGACCAGTGAGTGGTGCAGGTGTCGCTCATTATCCATTAACTCCACCGGCCTCGCTCCGTTCCCACGGCTCTCGGCCCCGCCCCCACTCGTCACATACCCCCATCGCCCCTCGCAGGCCGGGGGGTACTCCCGAGACTGCGCTCTACTCCCCCCC